AGGTAAAGTAACAACTATAAAGCAAACAGAATAGAAAAAATAGGGAGAACGCGAAGCTACAACAAAATTTAACGGAATGATATGCCCAAAGGAAATGAAAAATCATTTGTTGTACAGATAGCAGAAAATAGTTTCCTGCTGAGTGCCACTGCTGGTTCTGTTTCATATACATTTTAATAACTTTAAATGGGGATGTATGTAGTGGCTTTTCGTTTTCCCTCTACATCGGAAATATACATATTTAGAAATGGAGTTCTGTTATTAGAATTTTTGGGGGAAATATTAAACTAAATCATATGTGCCACTAAGGTCCGATAGACCAAAGTCGTCCACCAAAAATGCAGCCTTTTTGCATTAAGTATAAAACCCTTGTTCTTACAGAGACTCTCTATTCTGCAAACTTAATTCCAAGTGTCATTCTGCAATTGTTGGTTAATATATCTCTTTCTTTTCTTCAAAAAAAAATTCCACAATTTACAAAGTGATTTACTTAGTTTATATGTAGCCACCGTGTCCTTGTCCTGGTACCATTTCAACGGCTCCAATTCCTACCAAAAGGCTAGAAAAATGCCAGCAAAACAATGACAACATCCAAACCGACTTAAATGCGTATGAATGAAGTGGTAAATTACCAGAATATGCCAACATATTTCTCAGCAAGCAATAATGCACCACATTAACTCGCCCTTTTTTTTTCTTCTTCGCAAGAAAAGTTGTTTTTTTGGTGAAACCAACAGAAACATGCAGAGGCCCACAAGTCATGGTCATTGAATTATGAAACAAAACAGCCAATGAGGATGTCAATAGACTAAGGAGATTTTTTGACTGTTCAAAAGACCAGTATTTATTCGCGAATCAAATGAAGCCTTTATAGACCAGTCTATCAAGTCTTTGCAGACGACCTTTAGCTCGTGGGAGTCCTATAGACGAGTTGAATACCCAGTAGCCTTTATAGACAAGCTTAAGTCCCGGGAGTGTCTATATGCGTGCTGAAGGGCTGGGAGTCTCTATAGGTGTAAAGTCCAGGGAGTCTCTCTCTCTCTCTCTCTCCATGTACGAGCTGAAGGCCCATGTCAATGGGCTGTATAGAAGTGAAGGCCTGGTAGTCTTTATAGATGAGTTGAAGACCGGGAGTCTCTATAGACAAGCTGAAGGCTCAGGAGGCTGTAAAGAGTATCTCTCTCTCCATGTACGACCTGAAGGCGCATGTTGATGGGCTGTATAGAAGTGAAGGCCTGGTAGTCTTTATAGATGAGTTGAAGCCCCGTGAGTTTCTATAGATGAGCTGAAGACCCAGGAGCCTGTAAAAACAAGCTGAAAGCCCATATAGAAAGCTATATAGAAGTACGTATAGTAATGGGGAACTATAGACGAGCCGAAGGTCAGCAGGGCTGTATAGACGCGATGATGAGCCAACGGGTCTCTCTAGATGCTATGATAGCCAGCGAGTCACTATAGACGAGTAGATGGCCAGAGGATTGAACTGCTGATTGAGACCAGCTAATGGCCAGCGTATCTCTGTAGACCAGCTGATGGCCGCCGGGTCTCTATAGACCAGTTGATGGCCAGCGAGCCTCTAAAGATCGCATGATGGCCATCGTGTCTCTATAGATCTGTTAATGCTCAGCGGGTCTCTATAGACCAGCTGATGTCTATCAGGTCTCTAGAGACCAGCTGATGTCCATCAGGTCTTTATAGACCAGCTGATGGCCAGCGGGTTTCTATACACCAGCCAGTCTATATAGACTAGCTGATTGTCAGCGGGTCTCTTTATACTAGCTGATGGACAGCGGGTCTCCATAGATGAGCTAATGGCCAGCGGGTCTCCATAGACCAGCTGATGGCCAGCGGGTCTCCACAGACCAGCTGATGGCCAGCGGGTCTCCACAGACCAGCTGATGGCCAGCCGGTCTCCACAGACCAGCTGATGGCCAGCGGGTCTCCATAGACCTGCTGATGGTCAGCGGGTCTCTATAGACCAGCTGATGGCCAGGGGCGGGTCTCTATAGACCAGCTGGTGGCCAGCGGGTCTTTATAGACCAGCTGATGGCCAGCGGGGCTCTATAGACCAGCTGATGGCCAGCGGGTCTCTATAGACCAGCTGATGGCCAGCGGGGCTCTATAGACCAGCTGATAGCCAGCGGGTCTCCATAGACCAGCTGATGGCCATTAGGTTTCTATAGACCACCTGATGGCCTGTGGGTCTCTATGGACCATCTGATGGATGGTGGACCAGCTGATGGCCAGCGGGTCTCTATAGACGAGCTAATGGCCAACAGGTTTCTATAGACGAGCTGATGGTCAACTGGTCTCTATAGACCAGGTGATGGCCAGCGGGTCTCTACGACCCTATTATTTTTAAAAACTACTTCCAATAATGAGGATTACTTTATCAAATAAAGTTTCCCTTATTTAATAATATGAATATCTGAAATCCTTAAGCCAAGTCCGAATACTGTACCGCTTCCCTTCCTGCCACTCGGTTTTGGATAAACGGAAAGGACATAAAAACGAAAATATTACCAGCGAACCGCCGAACCAGCCAGCCAACCAACCAACAAAACACAACATCAATATTACCCGGCAGTGCCATTATCGCTACCACGAGAATTGCATACAAATGCCAATGTATGTGTGTGGGCAAGAGTGAGAGCATTTTAGTATGAGTGTGTGTGTGCGCGTTCTTATTATAATTATCATATTACAAATGCGAAAAAATACTGAAAATGGGTTAAATTGTGTGAGTAATTATGATGTGTGCTTTTGCTGGGTGGTGTTTTTTTTGTGGACCGCAACTTTTGCCTCAGTGCAACTTGAAATGTGAAAATATGTTGGTGGTAATATCCTAGCTGCACCACACCACTCTGCCACGTTGCCACGCCCCGCGCCAACCATCAACACCATTGAGTTATTTTTTCTCTGTTGATTAATGCAAAGAACAACAAAGGCGTTAAAATACGAACGCAAAATGCGAAACGCATACGTTTGGGAAACTTTCTTCTTGCCGTCGTGGTGGAAAATAACCCATATTCTGTTTTTCAAGTGGCAAAACAACACTAACACCAACAACAACGAAAAATTAAACGCAAAAATAAAAAAAAAACGCGAGTGTGAAAAGCTGATATGAGTTTATGAACGAAACGATTTAATGGCATTGATGATGATGATGGCGATGATGGTGATGTGAAGTGTGAACATTTTCCATCATTTTAATGAGAGTTTTCTGAATGATGATGATGGTGATGGGGCTGGCGAATGCTTGCAATGATGAGATAGTTGGATGCTGGTTGCATTTGATGGCGTGATGAAATGAAATGATGATGATGATAATAGCTACATTGACGCCTGATTCCAGTAATGGACAATTTCTTAAAGTTATCAAATCAAGTCATCAACATATCAAGGCTGTTAAATGGGTTTTTTGCACTTTTGAATGAAATTGCGTCTATTTTTACGGGATATTTGCAAGTAAATATAAAGTATACATCTGTAATATGAGGGGAAAATATATATAAAATCTACATGTATGTAAAAGAATTTTGGTATGGGGAACCCATGTCGAAAAACCTCTTATCCAAAATCTTAATATTTGCATTAGTTCCATTGGAAAAATGAAGTATTTCTTAAAAAAAATAAATGAAATTAAAAAAAAAAAACAAGTAAAAAAGCTGTAAGTTCGGCCGGGCAGAACTTTTAATACCCTCCACTATTTGGTACAAATTTGGCAATTTCCAAAAAAAAAAAATTAAATCCGTTAAAAATTCTCTTAAAATCTTAAAAATACCGAATGTCTATACGACGACGTGGACCTGCATGGGCAACTTTTGTCATAAGTTATTACAATATTTAAATGCGAAACTTGAAAAAAAATCAGTTAATAATGTAGCTAAATTCATCAAAATACCGAATATAAGGGGTACCGTTATATGGGGGCTATACGAAGGCGTGGACCTGCACAGACAATTTTCTGGCACGGACTGAAGTATCTATTACAAACTTCACATGCGAAATTTGAAACAATCCCGGTAAATAATGTCGCTAAAATCATCAAAATACCGAATATTGGGGGGGTACGGTATATAGGGGCTATACGAAGACGTGGACCTACATGGCCCATTTTCTATTTTATGCTGCAGTATTTATTACGAACTTCATATACCAAATTTGGAACGATTCCGTTAAATAATGTCGCTAAAATCATCAAAAAACCGAATATTGGGGGGTACCGGTATATGGTGGCTATATGAAGACGTGGACCTACATGGCTCATTTTTTTGACTCAGGATGTAGGATCCATTACGAACTTCAAATACCAAATTTGAAACGATTACGTTAAATAATGTCGCTAAATTCATCAAAATACCGAATATCGGGGGGTACCGGTATATGGGAGCTATATGAAGACGTGGACCTACACAGATTATTTTCAGTCTTAGGCTGTAGTATCCATTACGAACTTCAAATGCCAAATTTGAAACAATTCCGGTGTATAATGTCGCTAAAATCATCAAAATACCGAATATAGGGAGGTACCGTTATATGGGGGCTATATGATAACTGGGACATACATGGCCCATTTACGAACTTAACCTGCCTACTGGCAAATATACATGTGTGCAAAATTTTAGCCTTCTATCTCAATTTGTTCGAAAGATAGCGTGATTGCAACAGACAGACAGACGGACAGAGAGACAGACAGACAGAGTGACAGACAGACAGACAGACAGACAGAGTGACAGACAGACAGACGGACATGGCTAAATCGTCTTAGAATTTCACGCTGATCAAGAATATATATACTTTGTTGGGTCTGACATGAGTATTTCGAGGAGTTACAAACGGAATGAATGGAGGGTATAAAAACAAACAAAACGCCCTTACTAGCGAACCTGCATAGGCTAACCAGCTGGGAGTTGTGACAATAAGCATAAGATAAAATTATCTTATATTATTATCTTATCTACTATAGACTAATTTTTAATTTTTCTCTTTATTTCCAGGTATGTTGCCCAAAATATGTCTCAAAATGTAAGTTTCTTTAATCAATAAAAGGAAGGGTCAAGAGTTAGGCGGGGCCGACTATATGATACTCTACACCACTATGCCTATTTATTTAGTAGAGCTCACGTAACAAAAAAGTTTTTGTTGTGAATTTATGTGAAGTCGATAATTCCAACTATAAACCTTATTCGAATGCGTAGAGTAGAGTAGTCACAATTTGGGAACTAAATCCAACTCTGAATCGATTATCAACAATTTTGCGAAGGCTTTTGTACCACTAGCACCAAATAATATTGCTGTATAGTGCATGATATGACTTCGATAAGGATTATATCAAAAAATTATTTATTGGAGAATATATATACTGGACCGAGTATCACAAAATGGTAAAATTCGGATAAATATGAAATTAAATCTGTTAAATTTGGGCTGATATATGTATATATTTTAAGCAATAACCGTAAAATCGGATAAAGATGTATATCGAAGCTAAATAAAAATCTGAACCGATCTCGAAAAAAATTTTGAAGAGTCTTTTTCGAGCAGTATCTGGTGCCCGGCACTAAAGATTGTGGCGTGCATATTACGCATGTGAGGGACTTTAACACCAAATCGGGTGAAACATATATATGGGAGCTATAGCTATATCTGAACCGACTTTCACCAAATTTTGAAGCACTTGCTTTTAGGCTGAACTCCGTTGGAAGTGCCAAAATTCAGTCCATTGGCCTGATATTAGCCATTTGGTACACAATAAACTTGATATCGGGTATAGATATATATGGGAGCTATATCCAAATCTGAACCGATCTTGACAAAATTGTAAACACCCATTTCTGAGATGTATCTGATAATTGGTACCAAAGATTATTGTTGTGAAGTGCGTTATACGTATGTGAGGGACTTTAACACCAAATCGAATGAAATTCATATATGTGAGCTATAGCTATATCTGAACCGATTTGAACCAAATTTGAAGTACTTGTTTCTAGGATGAATTCAGTCGTAAGTGCCGAAATTCAGTCCATTTGGGCTGAAATTAGCCATCTGGTTTGCAAAAAAACTGGAATCGAATAAATAAAAGTTAATACTTAAAATTTGATGAAAATCGCTTCAGATATAGATATAGCTCCCATATATATAGGTTTCATCCGATTTGGTGTTTAAATCTCCAACTTTCGGAATATGCACTCTACCATAATCATATTTTATACCAGATATCTCATAGAGTTCAGAAATGCCCAATATAAACCTTTCTTGTACAAGAGCTTTACTAAATATACATAGTGGTGCAGGGTATCATATAGTTGGCCCCGCTCGATTTTTGAGATTTCCTTACTGGTCTAACTTTCATAGAGTTCTTAAAATGCCACCTTTTATATAGACGATGTTATGCCATTACTTTGCTTTTTTTACCTTGTGTACCCTATTTGTTATGAAAATTGAAGTTGCGTTTTGAAATTCAAAGCCAAATTTTTGTCAAAAGTAGACTTATTGTCCGACCTTATATTAGCCTTTGTTCGAATATATGTGTTGATAAGTCTGTTGAGCGAAATATAAGTTTGAAAATAAAATCCTGAACGGCAATTTCAACAATGTTTTTGGTGTCCTCATGTACCCTCCACCTTGAAAAGGCGGATGTCTTTGTCGTTCCGTTTGTAACATCTCTAAATATTCGTCACAGACCCCATAAAGTATATATATTCATGATCAGCATAAAATTCTAAGTCGATTTAACGATGTCCATCTGTCTGTCAGTCTGACCGCATGTCTGTCTGTTGAAATCAAGATACGTAGAGCTTCAAAATTTGGCAGAACAATTTGTATTGTGTCTAGGATGGTTGGTATTGAAAATCAAATATATCGGTTCACGTTTTGATATAACTCCCCATATAACAGTACCTCTCGATATTCGGTATTTTGATGATATTTCCACCTCTTCTCCACGGATTTGTCTGCAAATTGGTATTTGTAGTTCATAATGGGTTCTAGCTCCGGTGGCGAATCATTGAATGTACAGGCCTACGTTTTTGTATAACCCTATATATCAGTACCTCCCGATATTCTGTATTTTGATGATTTTTGCCACATTTTCCCCATCGATTTGTATAAAAAGTGGTATTTCTAGCGTCGGTGGCGCACATTGTATGTTAGGTCCACGTTCTTGTATAGGCTCCATATAACGGTATTACCTGATATTCTGTATTATGATTATGTTTCCACACTTTCTTCACGGATTTGTCTAAAAATTAGTATTTGTAGTTCATAATGGGTTCTAGCTCCGGTGGCATAACATTGAACGTTTAAGTCCACGTTTTCCTATAGCTTACATATAACGGAATATTCGGTATTTTTATAATCCTAGTCACGTTTACCCACGAATTCTTTCAAATTTGGCTTTTAGACTTGCAATAGATAACAATTCTTGTAGTATAAAGATGTCTATATAGGTTCCAGTTTTGATATGACCCCTCATATAACGGCTTCACCCACTTGATGGTTTTCTGAAAAGTTTAACTGCAATATTCAAACAGTCTTGCTGGTATTTGAAGTTTAAAGTGGAACACGCTTGAATTCGGGTACTTTTATATAAAAATCTTTTTTTTGTCCAATACTAAAAGGGCTTTAAAAGTTTGGCCCGGCCGAACTTGATGTTTTTTAATTGTTATACCCTACACCATACTATGGAGGGTATATTAACTTTGTCATTTCGTTTGTAACTCCTCGAAATACTCATGCCAGACCCAAGAAAGTATATATATTCTTGATCAGCGTAAAATTCTAAGTCGATTTAGCGATGTCCGTCTGTCTGTCTGTCCGTCTCTCTGTTGTAATCACGCTATCTTTCGAACGAATTGAGATAGAAGACTAACATTTTGCACACGTGTTTATTTTGCCAGTAGGCAAATTAAGACCATAAATGGGCCACGTAGGTCCACGTTTTCATATAGCCCCCATGTAACGGTACCTCCCAATATTCGGTACTTTGATGATTTTGGCGACTTTATTCACCTAAATTATTTCAAATTTGGTATTTGAAGTTCGACATGAATAGTATCCCCTAAACCGGAAATTTGTCGGTCCACGTCTTCGTATAGACCCCATATAACGGTACCTGCCTATATTCGGTATTTTGATGATTTTAGCGACATTATTCACCGGGGTAGTTTCAAACTACGTATTTAGAGTTTGTATTGGAAACTACAGTCTGTGACAGAAAATTGGTCCTGGTCTTCGTATAGCTCCGATATAATGGTACCTCCCAATATTCGGTATTTTGGCTATTTTAGCGACATTATTCAACGGAATTGTTTCAAATTGGATATTTGAAGTTCGTAATGGATATTACAGCTTATGACAGATAATTATCTGTGCAGATCCACGTCTTCATATAGCCCCCACATAACGGTACCTCCCTATATTCGGCATTTTGACTATTTTAGCGTCATTATTCATCAGAGTAGTTTCAAATTACGTATTTAGAGTTCGTAATGGAAACTACAGACTGGGACAGAAAATTGTTTATGCAGGTCCAAGTCTTCGTATAGCTCCGATATAATGGTACCTCCCTATATACGTTATTTGATGATTTTACCTACATTATTGATCGTTTATTTCAAGTTTCGAATTTGAATATGGTAATGGCTTATGACAAACAAAGCCTATGTAGGTTCACGTCATAGAGACCCCAATATAACGGCTATATTCGGTATTTTTAAGATTTTAACAGAATTTTTAACGGATATTATTTTTTGAAGATTTCCAAATTCGTTCTAAATGGTGGAGGTTATTCAAAGTTCGAATTCGAATTTGCTTTTTAACTTGTTTTTAATTTTTTTATTTATTATTTAAACGTTGGATTTTTTCAACAGAAAAAATACTGGATTTTAAAATTTTTCATATTCTTCCTCGGAGTTATTTTCTTAGCGGAATTTTTGTTTATAATAGAAAAAAAGTGAGAAATTCCACAGGGACTTGTAATTCCTAATTGAGCTGATTGGAAAACCTTCAGCACAAAAGTTGACAGCATTTGCCTATATTTAATAAATATAAAAGTTTTCAATACAACAAATTCCTACACACCGTTCAATTTGTGGAGATAGAAAAATGTAACCTTTTTTTTTTTTTTTTTGAGAAACGATATTTTTGGTTCCCTGAAATAGATGTACAAATAGTACGAAAATGTACTGTAAAAGTTGACTAATTTCCATTTTGAATTTAAATCCATCGTTACTTCTTTTTTTAATTGCTAGCAAATTACCTACTTTTTTGTAAAATGTGACGAAATTATCTACACTTTACTGCAATGCAATTAAATTAGTGAAACTAATTTAATTTTGTATTGTCCTTTGTCAGTTTTAGCATGCTATTTATTATCCCTTCTTCCTCTTCCTCCTCCTCTGCACCATATATCATTTGTCCGATGTGTCTCCGAAAAATGTTAAAAGTGCATCTATCTATTAAATTGCACTAATTTTTGTTTTTGTTGCAGCAATTAAATGCTGCACTTCCCCTCCCACACACACACACATACACACACATAAAGAGAACGTTTTAGAGGTTCTAATTTTTTTTGTCAAATTTCCAAGTTTCGTCTAAATGATGCTATCATTTCATTTCATCCATGCCACATCCATGTTGCAGCAGTAGAATTTTGAAATTCTTCTTCTTTAGCTGGGACAAGCACGTCGTCGTGGTGGTTAATGGCAGTCGTTTTCAGTTTTCTGTGCCAAGACAATGCACTTTTGGAAGTGGGTGTGTGTGTGTGGTTTTGGGGGGAGCTATTATTAAAACATGACTTTTGGGTATATAGCACACTTCAAGTGGGTGCATGATTCCTTTTCCACTCACTCTTACCACTAGGTATCGTGGCCTCTGGCACTTTAACATTATTATCACTCCGCCTGCAGCCTCATAGAGAATGGAAAATGTTCCCACTGCTCCATGTTGGTGTGGGTGTCATTTTTTCCTCCATTGCTTAGACGAAAGTGACATTAAACGAAACCTAATGACTCCGACTATTTTGC